GGGAGCCGTTGGTTTCTATCCCTATTACTACCTATGGTTTGTGCGACTCCTATACCCTCTGACACTATTAAAAGTGGACGAAGAGAGCGGTGAAGTGATCCGTCAGAAGAATGGCTTATGTATATCAACAGAACCGGGAGAGGTTGGAGAGGTGGGCGCCCGCATCATAGACTCGAGTCCTATCAGCCATTTTGACGGTTACACCAATCAAACGGAGACCAAAAAGAAGATCATATCCAATGTGTTCAGAAAGGGTGACAAAGCGTTTCTATCGGGAGATCTTCTTCGCATGGATTCCGACGGTTTCCTCTACTTTGTCGACCGGACGGGCGATACCTATAGATATAAGGGTTAGTATTGTTGACTACTATATGTTTCACTGATAGGAAAATATATAAATTTATGTCAATAGCATATCGTTTATGACAATTGATTGATTGATGCAATGTTTATGTATTACATGACACAATTATTCAATGAATTTGACGCCAATATTTCATAATATTTATTGACTTTTTAAAGGGGAGAACGTGTCGACCGCCGAAGTGGAGGCAGTCATACAAAAAGTGACACAACTGTCGGATTGTGTGGTATTTGGTGTGGAAGTGAACGGTTTGGAAGGGAAGGCCGGTATGGCTGTGATCGCATCCCAAGACCATGAGATCAATTTAATGCAATTGTCGGTCAGTCTCCGCAAACAACTGCCTCCATATGCGGTGCCGGTGTTTGTCCGCATTACTGATCGGATTGAGAGCACCGGCTCTTATAAGTTGCTGAAGAATAGCTTTATTAAAACCGGATTCTGTCCCAACTCTACCACTGATTGCATTTACTTTTACGATAATATTCACACAAAGTCATACATTTTGCTCGACTCTAAGCTATACGAAGACATTACGTGTGGAAAGATTAGGATTTAAAGGAAAGGATTATAAGTTAGAATTTAATGTTTGAATGACTTTTTAATTAATTTGTTTCCCATATATAAATAAAAATAATGTATTTTTGAATTGATTTTAGTTTTTATCATTTTACTTAATAATTTTTATCACTTTTTGTATGATTTTCTCATTACTTTCCTCAATAAACCTTGAATTCGCGATTTGACTCTCATTTAAGGGAATCTCTCCCTCTTTCTCTCTCTTTCTCTCTCTCTCTCTCTCTCTCTCTCTCTCTCAACGTAAAATTATTTTATTTTTTGAACAATTATTTGTCAAAAATATTTAACTCGTTTGGTTTTGCAATATATTTTTTTCCCGTCAATAATCGATTCAAAATAGAAAAACACATTTATTTTAAATAAAATATCGATTATTATTAGTATATTTGCGAAATATATATTCTGAAGGATTTTAATATTGAAAACGATTCCCACTGTAATCACAAACTCAACATTTATACAATGTTTATATAATTAATATTATTAACATCTTCTGCTCAAATTGTGATTTGATTAAAAACCTTATAATTTGAATACATGTTCAAAAAATGTTGAAAGAAAAAATCAATCGTTTTAATACTGAATTCAAGGTCTGACTTATTGAAGACAAAAGATTGTATAATATATTCACTGTCTTTACAATAGGTCTAAAAAGACATTAACTTTATTGTAAAAGTGATTGTCATATAAATCGTGTCTTAAATTAGCCATATTTTGTACGTCAATCACATCTGAAAATAGTTTATAAATTATTTATTACCACAAATGCATAGAAACAACACAGAGATATCATTCAAATATATTAAATAAATTATTATTAATATTATTACTTTAATCGATGGGAAAGTTATCTGTATTTAAGATCTTATTATATATTTGTTAAATATGTCAATATATACCAAATAATAATTAATTTCTATTATAATTTCGTGCATTTTGTTCATATATAATTATATATTTTTAATCGTGGTAAACTCTAAAACTTATATTTTAAAAATACATTGCTCAATAGTTAAGCAATAATTGTCTAAAGTCTAGAACATTATAATGAAATGTAATTAAAAAGTCAATTAGTTATCTAAAGGTCTTTGAAACGTATTGTATTAAATATAGTAAACCATCATTATTATAATAATATTGTGAATAATTCATATTATGTAACTTAAAATATTATTAGAAAAAAATATAACTAAGGTTATGCTAAATGACATTGTTTAACAAATGATCAAGTAGTAAATTATCTAAAGTTATCTTTATTGTTTATAACCACTCCACATTTTGTTTTCTACGTTATAATTTATAACTGATAAATAATATTTAAAAAACAAATTAAATATTCAAGTATGCAAACCGCGATGAAGATTGTTATTGTATGTGTTTGACCATAATAAACTCAATAACAAAAATTTGCAAATCAAATTAAACGTGCTAAATATTTTTTTTAAAAATTATCCTACAAAAATTTTCCAAATAAACGGTTAAAAACATTACAAAAGTGAAATGTTTTGACAACAAAAGACAATTAAAAATTTTAATTTAAAATTACTGTTAATATATTTGTCAATAAAGTGTCGTAACTATCAATATTTTGCGAAAACACTGGAAAATAACAAGTGATTTATTGAATCAGGGGAATTATTTGACCATTATGTTTATAAATAGTAAATGCAATCGAAATTTTGCAATAACAATAATAAACTAAATGTTTTAAACAAAAACCAATTTAGCAACAAATAAAGATAAATTTTATTGCATATATTTATTAATAACTTTGTATTTAATTATTAATATCGCAGACAATAGTTGTGTTAATATTACAGGGGGTATTTAAAGCATGATGATAAAAAACAATATTATAGTACAAATACTGTATAGTGACAGACAATTATATGTGAAAGAAAGATACAGTATTAGTAATTAAACAAAAAAGTTGTTTGCCTTCCACTCAATCGAGTTATGGCTTACGATATGTTGTGTTAAAACTGGAGAATAATTCCTATAACCCTTCAAACCATGAGATCGAGTAAAGTGTTTGACTTCTTTTTATAAGTTTTCTAAAAACATATTTTATACAAGAATTTGTTATTTAAATGCATTCAAAAAGTTATTTCTGAAATAATACTGTTGTGGAAAATTTGTGAGAAAATATGGTCGAGCCATACGTTGAGGCTCTTAAACGAGATATCAAGTAAATTATTGTCATCTTTCATTTGTTTTATTTTTATTTAATTGTAGTTTATTAAATTATTTACAATTAGACTATTTATTAAATATTTTAACAATTTACCTAGAGAAATTTTGACTATTTTTAGATAAACTCAGTATTTTAGATTTATATAAAAACTATATATTAAAGTTTTAAATTATTATTATTAAATTAATTGTAAATAGATTGTATTTTACTAAAAATGCTGGAATGATAAAAATTCTAGTTAGGTTATTTTAACTATTTACAGTAACAATTACTGTTATAAAAAATAATTTACAATTAGCATATAATATATATGAATACAGCAAAACAAACAAAATAACTAATATTTCCAAGAAATTTTTAAAATAAAAATCACCTTCAGTTTAATAATTTTATCGGCAAAACTAAAAGACTATTTATTTGCACTAAAGACAAAACCCATTTGATTGATGGGTATTTGTATGTTAAATATACCTTTCATTTAAAATATCAATCAATAATTTGACAATGGCAATGACATTGGTCAATTTTACAATATTTAATAGGTTTATAATATAATTTTGTAAATATAATAAAACATATAATAAACATTTTATTAAATAGCTATATTATAAAAATTTTTAAATAATAATTAAGCAGTACTACAGTATATTATAATCTATGTTAATTTTATGTAATATACTAATGGCTCTATTATTAGAAATAAATAGTAAAAAAAGTATTATTTTAATTGCTAAAGACGTGCAAACTTTATGATATTTCTAAGAATTTTGCCATAAATTTATGTTTTATATCTCTTATATCAAAATTAAAATTTATTATTAATTAAGTGGCGATTATTTAAAGGGAAATAACCAGGACGATTATAGTGAAATTAATATTTATATCACATGTTAACAAATATTGTAAAATTTAGGCTTTTAATTGATAAAAATCGTGATACGATTAATACAATAACTAATTTAATTTGTTTTTGCTTTTAAGATCTGGTTTTGGAGTAATTGAATGGAACCTTCTGTGGAGGCGCTGGAAGTTTAATAACGATTCTGTGATCAGTGTCTTCAGGAAGACGGCCGCCAAAAATGCCGACAAAATCGCCATTAAGTCTGAGACCCAGACGTGGACTTTCAAAATGTTGGACCAGTTCTCCAACAAAGTGGCCAATTATTTCACATCTCTTGGATTCAGAGCCGGCGATCAAATGGCGCTTATGATGAACAATA